CTGGTAGGGCCTAAAAGATAAGGAGACATGTAAAGTGCCCCATAAGGGCTACCTTTTTTATTTACTATATTTGACGTATAAATTGAATACAATATTTTTGATTTTGACTGGTGTACTGGTATCGTGCATTGCGCTGATGCGTTACTGTTTTGTTTACCAACTTGTACAATAGATTTTTAGTAGCATAAATGCATTTATTACAAAACTATTTAATACACCTATGTTATCCATCAAATCAGCTAAAACTATGCTTAAAGAATTTGGTTACTTTGACTCTTAGTAAGAATAATGTTCCAGAATGTTCATTTCTATTCGCCTCACCATTTCTCCATCGGGCAACAACAGCGTTCCTTCCCTTTGAGTGCGGCCCTGTCCCGCTTGAGAGTGCACAGTACTACTCACAAGTATGTACCCACCTGCTGCTGGCAGGAAACGCGATGACGTAAATTGCACTTTATAGTTTAAACTTTGATGTTTCTTAAGGCATTAGCATGATAAATATTCAAAATTTCATAAGTATCTACTCGTACTTGAGGGAAACAGACTATAGAACAGGCTTTATTTACTAAAAATACCTTAGCAACTAAAAAAATCGATTTTCAATCTTTTATTTATAGGTATAAAGTATGTACCACTTGTTATTTTACTAAGGCTTCTGAATATTATCATTCAAATCCTAGTCCTAGTAATATTATAAATGCGAAAGTTTGGATGTCTGGATGTTTGTTACTCTTTCACGCAAAAACTACAAAACGGATTTTTTTGATGAAACTTTACAGTATTATTGTTTATAACCCAGAATAACATTATAGGGTATAATTTATGATGATCTGTGACAAACTAAATTTCACGCGGGTGAAACCGCGGGCAAGAGCTAGTTACTTATAAATTCGGGTAAATGTAGTCAGAATTTTCCCGTTTCTGAAAAGAAAACCTGAAATTTCGAAAATAGTTATTTGGACGTGTGAAATAGTTTAAGTATGTACGTAGACTTGAACGATTGAGTAAGATGTGTCAAACAACGCTCTTCTGTGTACCATGTACTTACCAGTTGTTTACTTGAGTCTAGCTCAAAAGCGCATTCTCTAATGTGTGTCTCAACGCGCATCGCAGCTGTAGGCGCCCTCCCTGGAACGCTTGGAGGTCCCGGGAGTGCCTCATAGAATGTTACCGCTACTACGGTCCCAGTGACATTTTCACGAGTTCCTGGTTAAAATCTTTGACTCTAGTTTACCCATCTTCATTCTGCATTTTATCGTTTGAAAATTCCCTTATATTATTCCGTGTAAGGGATCAAAGCCTTTAACAATCAGTTAACAATAAAAATTTATTGTTAACAGTATTTAAGTCGTCTCATTTTAGTTTAAAAAGTTCTCTAACTCTCTATATGCTTAATTAATTTTCGTATTATTTACCTTGATTTAGGCGTGTTGAAATTGTCTCAAAAGTCTGATAAAATCTCGTGTCTGCGTCGTAAGTTGTTCAAGGTCAAAGCATCCAACAAGAAGTTTCACTTTAGATAGTTTCAGGGATACGAGTTCTTTTCCTCATGGTACGGGCTAATGACAATAAACCGTACTGACAATGCAACAGCTCTTGAATGTGTGCACACTACGTGAAATGAACAAGTTGCCCTTCTAAATCAACTTGTATAACACAAATAGCCTAGAGCTGTGTGCAAACAATATAAAATTTAGAGAAAACCAGCCAGTGTCTGTGGCATTGTCAAGTCGAGAAAGAAATACGGGGAAATGGTATCACGATTTTGTATTGGTCAAATAATATATAGGTAGAACAAAATGTTTTTATATTGACAATCAATTAGAAGTAAGGATTCTGCAGAAATAAAGTTGTGACAGATCGTTATTTAAATAGCCTATTTTGATGTACAAACTGTAAAGTTTTATCAAAATACGATCAGTAGTTTTTGCGTGAAAGAGTAACTAACATCCATACATTCTCACCTTTTGAATGTATAAATATTAGTAGGATTAAATAGATATGTAAACGTTCATCGATAAACTGTTAGGCCTTCAATCTTAACTTACCTAGGTATTTAAGCAGTTACTATAATTAGCCACTTTTCTTGGCTAATAACATGCCGACTTTATGCGTTTTCCGACTCTCACTTGGCTGGCATCTATTGTTTTATAGTTTCCATGAATTCCCAAAAGCTGACGTACGGAGTACGATTTCAATTTCAGGAAAATTCTCGTTACTGCGTCTGAGGTATGCCTGTAATTTAGACTTCTTTTGTTCTTTGTTTCTTAAATTTTAATTACGAGACATGAAGATTCTTATCACAAATAAAAAGATTTTTAATTAAGAAGCAGAGATTCCGAATCAACAAATAGGCTTTTATTTTAGGAGTTGGTATATTTTGTTGTCTTTTTTCTGTTTGATAACCTGAATTTGTTTTGAGCGAAGATATTTTATATGAGTACATGCCACGTATCATGTTGTCATTTTGAAATTGATTGTAACATTTTACATTTTAGGAAATAGTCGTTCTGTTCCAGCTCTGTACAGTTACATATTAAAGGTTTATTCCAGTTAAGGTCAGCTCAAACTTGCTGTCTGTTATCTAGTCGAAGTTACAGCCAGTCCCATACACAGTTCATAGGACTCGGAATCATCTTACAGACCACTTACCTTTATAGGTCGTACTGAGAGTATCCCATTGATCGTTGTGAAACTGTATACCAATCTCGATGCTGTACAGTTCTACTCTATTGGAATCGGTTAATTCCTAGAAAGGTATTAAGGGTAATGAAGCTAGTAAGGCTGCAGCCAAATGATGCATTGGATATTTTACCTTATGAATTCACGTTACTTCATGAGGTACAGTCACTAGCTGTGCTTAAATTTTTGAAGCAAGCAAAGTCATATAATGTTAACATCATAACGCCAGAATCATAACGCTGGATCTAGAGATTTAATTGGAATTAGTCGTAGCTTTTATCGCCTATACTCAAACTTATCTACTTTTAATTCATACACAAATGTTGTGTTCCGGCAGTTAGAGGTAAGATAGCCAGTTCCTCCGTGGTTGAGGATTCCGGGTGAAGATCGCTTCCATCTTCGGCCTGATCGTCACTTACCATCAGATGAGATACAGGCTAAGAGTTTCCTCTTGACTGTAAGGTATCTGAGTAAAGCGCTCTGTGTGGTCACAGCTTTACATAATTTAGTTAAGGGCCATAGCCATAGCATTTACTGGTAAGCTTCAAACTGCATTTGAGTATCTATAATTTGTTTTGATTAATGAAAATAAAACTACATAATAGCTGCTTTTCCTACCAGGTACATTATTTGCTGTCATTCGACCTTCAAGGCGGGGCAAATTACCTGGTACATTAATCAAAATACCTAATAACCTATGCCCAACAACTGTTTGCGGCATTAAGTCACAGCCTTTGTCACAACTTACCTACCTGTGTTAAATAATACTAAATTAATTAGTCAACCACAGTGCGTGCCAGCATACACAAAAATGGTTATAGTACTGACCTGCCATACTTGTTGTTAGTCACGCGAATGGCGCATAACTTACTTGGGTTGTCACCGAATTTTGGCACTTATTGTTGGGGGAAATCATATTACAGCACATTAGAATTGTACAAAGGCTGCCACGAAAATAAAGCTATTGTTACAGTAGACGAAATCTTGAATTGTCGGGACTCGCTGTGTATTGAGATATATTCATTGGGCGTTTTATGTGTGGGTCACTGCACTCCATCTACTGTGCCAAGGATTAGCAAATCCAGTTCTTGTTAAGCCGGGAATCTTCCTACAGTTCTTAATATTTTATTGCATAACTAAGGCTTTGCTATGGCTTCACTCTCGTGGATTTCAATTACATAAGTACCTACTATTAATAATTCGTAAGAAACTCTAAGTCTTATTATACGGATGAAATAATAGCTTCCGTTAAGCTAAAGAATTTAGAAATGTAATATTTGCCAATACTTATTACTTGAAATACAACATTCTGATTTTGCTATTATTATCGAAAATGTACATTTACTTACTTGTAATAACATTTAGCTTTCAAATCTCATCGCAATATTGCCACACTTTCGTATCATAAAAAGTGGTCTAGATTTATTATTAGAAATCGAACAGAATGAATCAAACAATTTTATTACATCGAGGTCCATTTTGTTCCGTATTATATTGCATTTCGCCTTGTCTACGATTTTCTCTCTAGAGAGGAAGATATTATGTCAGTGACAGGAACAAACAGAAATAATTCCTGTAACGTACATTCGAGACACGTAAAAGGAAATCTCACAAAGAACGAGTATTAAAACAATGAAATTAAAAGCCTTTGTTACAGTTTTTTAAGACGGTTATTAAGTGCTCGAACGTTACCTTATAAATTGTTTAAAATTACCTCTTGATACTTCTCAAGCACGAAAACGTTAAACCCAAACCCAGACTGAAAATTATGGTCTAAACTCAGCAATTTCATGTAAATTTACGAATAACCCAGCCTTTACAAAAATATAGGAACATACGGTTTGGATACATTAACATAATTCCATATTTCAAGAAATTGAACGAAAGTCAGGAAACGGAATTCCATTTTATTGGAAAGTCAAATGATTTATTGTCTTATGACAAGTAATTAAGTTATTAAAATACATTTTACACTAATGTAGTTACATTGTAAAAATAATTTCTTGAACTACCCACGGCTTCCGCTATGTGCCGTTGCTAACTAATTGTTACTTTGTAAATAAATCATAACAACATCATTTTAAAAAAGAACCATATAAATAATTTCCAGTTCATTGCGGTTAACCTGCTTTAAAAAGAAATCCACACAAACTCAAATAAAGCAAAAAATCTCTCAAATTATGCTATCATTTAGTACTTACTAATTTACCACTAGCGTAACCTTCTCTACAGCCTAAAGGGAAATCTTAAGTGCTCAAAAAGCCTACTAATAGGAGCGGACCGCGAGACCAGTCAGTCAGCCGCGGTTGCTACGGAGGCCGGTCGTCTACGCCGTAGCCGCTACGAGCTACGAGCTACGAACCCGCTCGCGAACTTTATTCGACATTAAACTTAACTTATTATTTAACTACACTTAGTTTTATGTAAGTAATAATTAATAGTGCGGTAAATTACAAGTTATTCAAACGTGAATGTTTAATGAAACAATGTTCAGTGACATTAGGGGAGGGCAGTGACTGAATAGTGCACACGGTAACCTACTTAAATGCATCGTTATAAAACGGAGGTAAGTAATGACTTCTACTATGTAGTTTGAAAAATATGACGGACATGTATTACTTTTCAGTTTGCCAATTTTTATTTTTATTACGCTGATGGTGTAAAACAGAAACATTTATTCAGATTGATACATTAGAAATGAAAACACTTATTTACAAGTCGTTATTCAAAGTAGCGTGTTTAATCTAAGAGTATTTTGAAGTCTGGTTTGCCTGCTTTTTCATTCATTTAGGCGGCATGGAAGACATGAATAATTCCGCTGCCTCTACGTTTTGTTTATGATATGTGAACATCATAACGCATTCGCGGAAGGACGTTTGAAGATAGACATGTTGACTAGAAATGTCTTGCGAAGAGAGATATTATGCATGTGGGAGGAATAACGTATACTGCGAAATGGACGTTAAAATTTTAGTTCCTTTGAATATCGTTTGGTATAATCATGTAGTTTCTATTTATCCAAATAAAATACGTTTTGAGAATCATAGAGAAAAAGCTCTGAGCTTCCTACCTACTTATCTTAACATCTCGAGAAATCGTTCGTAATTTGTTTCCTAAATTAACCTCTTACACGTTGTATTGAAGCACAAATTACATACTAATTAAATTATTTATATAATCCGAGAATACTATAAAACCCCGTTACCCGTAAAATGCGAACGTTACAAAGTTGAAATAATATTACGCCATTCCAAAGCACTCGACTCCACCGCGACAACAAAATGGCAAGCGACATGTCGTTAACTCGCATAAATTAATTACAACATGCACAGAGTGAATTACATTGAATTTATAACGGATACGATTTCTTGGGGGTAGATGGATGTTTGGCAATCTAATTGAGATCAAAGAGGGATGTCGTTGATGAAGTTAAACTGTTGGCTTCGGCAGCCGATGGATTGCTTCCGTGCCTTTAACGGTATTGGTGGCAATTTTGATGTGTCAAGCGATTTACTACTTTATTATATTCAGATTTAGGTATAAGACACTGGTAAACTTCTTTTCAAATGATTAATTGCCATAATTTATATCTGTATTAATGGTCTGTGGGCATACTCTATAGTAGTATTTTTAAGCCTAGGCACAGACCACCGACTTTTAGTTGGCCGATAGTTGGGCCCGATTTTAATTTGTATAAAGAATCAGCCGATACCAAATCGTTGTAGTAATGTGCGCACGTACATACATGCCCATGCCCATACTGATTAACTGCCCGACTAAACAATCGGCCGACAACAAATCGGTAGTCTGCGCCTAAATTAAAAAGGGTTTCTGAATAAATAAACATGGATGACTCCAGTACTGAGTTTTATGAAATTACTTAATTAAAATATTGAAAAAACTTCAGATCGGAAAGGTTGTGCACCGCAATAAAACGAAGGTAGCTTGAAACATTTGCACTCATCTTTTGGCAGTAACCTATTGGTTATTGAAGATTGCTAGTCAAGTTCTTTATTTATAACTAGCTTTCCGCCCGCGGCTTCGCCCGCGTGGAATTTTGTCTGTCACAGAAAAACTTTATCGCGCGCGTCCCTGTTTCAAAAACCGGGATAAAAACTATCCTATGTTCTTTCCCGGGACTCAAACTATCTCTATGCCAAATTTCATCAAAATCGGTTGCGAGGTTTAAGCGGGAAAGCGTAACAGACAGACAGACAGACAGACAGACAAACAGACAGACAGACAGAGTTACTTTCGCATTTATAATATTAGTTGGGATTAAACTAGTTTTGCCCATGGCTTCATCCGCCTGAATTTCATTCTATGTTACCCAGAGATTAATGTAATATTCTAATTGTGAAATTATTTTCTAAATTCATTCAGTACTTATTGAGTTTATTCGTTACAAACATAGAAAAATATGAAAATGCCCTTTTTATAATAACTTTCAGTGACTTAAAGTTGCTTAATTGAGTGAGCGACTTAAAACGATTGATCTAAAAAAGCTGTGATGCTCAATTGTCATATTGTAAAAATAAGTCGTTACCGCTATGTAACTTTAGGTTACATAGTTAAGTTACAAACCGATCGCGATTTCAAATCGAAATCGAATGCTACCTTGTCTACTGTAGTGAGTAATTTTCTTTGGGTTTGTTTAAATAAGTATGTCTACTTATGTACATTGTATAACTGGTAAGTAAATGTCCTCGAAGTTGATATGTACAAACGGTTATATCAAAAGAATATTACTTGCTTTCTTTGTGATAGTAAACAAACATTTTCACGCTCCAATGACAATATTACATCGATTGTGGCCATTGTATTCTAAATGTATTCGGGTAGATTACCCCGGTTCGATCAATATTGCGGTCGGTTAAGGTAAGGCTGATCTAATATTTATCGCTGGAACTAGTTAAACTCCACAATTACGGGTTCCATTGATTTTATAATTAGGGCAACTCATAGCTTATGGTATTTATTCAAAATAAAATGATCAATTAAGCGAATAAGTTCAGAACGAAGGGAATTCCTCGGATATCTTCACGAACACTGCTTCGATCTTTTAAGCAGGGTTTCTTTTTAATTAATTGCCTGCTAGGAATCGGCCTATTTAATCTTCATTTGTAAATTGTGTTTATATTTTGGATGCTTTGTCCATTTTAATCGCTTTTTGTGCTCCCAGGTGGATCAATTTGGGAAATTAACTTTTTGAATTAGCTTATCTTTCATGATCCTGTCACTGTTACGTCAGCAGCTTTTTAGGCCTGAGTTCTTTTCAGGCTATTGATTTTGTACTTATTCTGTAACCCCTTTACTAAAAAAATGTTACACACTTGTTGAACACTGTTTTAAATTGACATTTCCATACCAAACGTCACATAAAACACTGTTCAACGAGCGTTTAATTTTTATTAGTTAACTTACGTTCTCTTTATTAAGCAAAAGTATTCATCATGCGATTTGGCTCAATATCAAGTTATGTATTTTAGTCAAATGGCCTAGTTGGGAATGGTTCCGTTAGCCGCAACAATTAAGGCTGAGTTGCACTACCTAACTTTAACGGTAACTATGACGATAACCGGTGCTTTTTGTATGGAGTTTGACAGATTTCTGATGTTTGTCAATGTTAAAGTAAGATTGTGCAACCCGGTCTAAGTTAGATAATTATTACAACGTTGTTATCTACTCAGTTCCGAAATCATTAGTCACTGATAGCCGTATAAAGATAGAAGTAAAAGGGGTGGTATAACAAAGATACACTGCAATCCCATGCTATCCACTCCTAACGTATATGCCTGTTTTATGCTACACGCAAGTGAAGCGGGACAATATGATCTAACGCCCGTATTCACAAACATAGGTAACCAGTTCCTCCGTGGTTGAGGATTCCGGGTGAAGCTCGCTTCCACCTTCGGCCTGATCATCACTCACCATCAGGTAAGATACAGGCCAAGAGCTTCCTCGTTGTGGATAAGAAAAAAAACATTACTGTGAGGTCTCCCAGTGCGCGGAGATGCACAGGGTGACACATAAACCAATCACGGAGCTGTATTCAACGCTGTGCGTTCGCTGCTTCACTTAACAAGCATCGTTTGTGAATAAGGGCGTAAGACTCTAAGCACTATTCAATGGAGCTCACTAATAAAGCGTTTATTATAACGACTTGAGTGACGATCGTCAAACATAAGTTATTTTCTGGAGTGCCAGTTAAAAATCGCAATATAAAGGCTGTTACTCGTAGGTACCCATTACTGCGCTAAATTGATATTGCCCACTGCATATTATGCATACGAGTGTTTTATAAATTGTTTTTATAACAAACAACATTTGGATTGTATGATCATTCTCTAGAATGGGAACATTAAAATAAACGTTCCGTTTTATTGTCAAGCATAGAAATTACAGAACGGTGTACGAGGCTGTCCTTAGATTCGGCACAGTAGAGGCGGATGCAAAAGGGTTAATTAAATTTAAGCGCGTGAAACGTACGCGAAACGTGTGATAAACATAGTGTGGAGTTTTGTGAGTAATTAAAAGTAAAAAATTCCGTAGTTGGGTAAATTAAGGAATAAAATACACTCGATTACTACTATAATACAATGTTATCTCAGAAACAAGATCGCTCATGCACTTCGTCAAGTTTTAGTACTTGTTTTCGTTGGTTAATTTTATTGTAACCAAAAAATACATAATGGAGAGGTGTAAATTTTCCTGAATAGTATCGTGAATATTATCATGTACACACGGCCACACTGTTAACTATCCATTTCTGCTCTCGCTCTCATCAATAATGGTGATTTTTTGCGATAGTACGAGATGACATGACACGCAATGGGTAGTTAACACTGTTGCCGATAGTACCACAATATGTACAGTCTTTTTGTCATTTTATTTCTTTTTGTGTGACGTGATGTACCTACATGCGGCAGTATAAACATTGTGGTATCAATAGTAACAACTATAATTTTGTGCCAAATGGCGGTTCAATGAAAAGTAAAGAAAATCTCTACTGTATTTTCTTATATTATGTAAAGCGAAGCTTCATTGCAATGTTGATTGTGATTAAACAATCTTGTTTGGCTTCGGTTTTACGTCGACAATGAGTCGAGCAGCACCAATTGGTTCGTAATTAACATTGTTTTGACTTCATCTAGATAATTTGCTTGGATTTGTGAATACGCTTCAGATTCGAACGCGTTACGTAATTACGTCAGCTTCGGTGTTGCTATACGTCTACGTCTAACGTCAATTAAAACCGTGTATTATCTCGGCAATAATTAATTAGTTCCCAATACGTGGCGTTGAATATTTCATTAATGTTGGAAACAAAAGCAACACATGCTCTGTGCTGTGATTGAATACAGGAATATAATAATATGACTAACATAAAAAAAGTCATCAGATACGAGTTTAAGTTAGAAAAATAAATGAAAAACTGAAACCTACATTATCATCTAAGGATACTTTATGTTGACTGATACTTTTTTATATTGTAATTATTTGAACCTAAAATAAAATTCTTCTAAATACATTAAAACACCAAACACTGTAATTCCGAACAGTTTC